GGGCCGCCGGCCGCTGGCCGGCCTGCGCTGGAGAACGACCCCGCCCTCGTGTACGTCGGGGGGGGGGGGTCTCGCCTCTGCTGACTCAGCCAGAAGCGTTGCGAGGCGTTTACAGAAAGCCTGGCTGCTGTTAAAGGCCTAGAAAGTTGCTCAGGATTTTCGGAGATGGGGGCGTGACTGCTGCGGCAGAGACAGCCGAGGGACGGAGGCCTGGCCGGGGAGCGGGCTCTCCCCTGCCTCTTACACCCTCATCTGCTCACTCTCGCCTGTAGACGCTGCATGTGGCCCTGCTGGCTTCAGCCACTGGAATGACGTGTAGCTGCACCCCGTCTCCACCTGCGCCCCGTGGAGCACACCTGCCCTCATTGCAAACCCTTTTCTGACTCCTGTTACTGAGGGTAAAGTCCACCCACCTCTGCAGGCTGACCAGCCTTTTGCCCCTAGGCCGCCATGCCCTGTGCTCCTGCCCTGCAGGGTCAGCCGGCGCCATACTCCGTGGCTTTGCTCACTGCTCTGCGCAGCGGAGGGAACTCTGTATGCCTCTTAGTCTGTGAGGAACAAAGACCAACCCCACTGCGTAAGCACAAGAGGAGACCCAGGGCGGGGAGGCGGGGGGAGTCCCATGGCATCCCAAAGCCAGGATGCGGCTGGGCCTCAGGAAGGGGCTCTGGGGTGCAGCTTCGTATCACTCTCCGGCCTCTCCGGCCCGGTTTGGGTCCTGTGAGACTTGTGTCCCAGGTGCGGCTAGTTACCGGCGTGCAGGGACGAGAGCCGTCTCGCAGAGCTGGCAGCCCTGCTGTTTGTGCAGCTGGGAACTGACCCGGCCTTGATGGGGGGCGGGGCTTGTGGCCTACCCAGCTTCCGCACTCCGGGTCACACCGAGGGTCCACGCCTGGTCCTGCACGTGAGGACGCGGCTCCCTTGGGATTTTCTTTCCCACCCGCGAGAAACACTCAGCTGTTGGAAAGCTACTCGTAACATCTTTCACGTTTCTCAGCAGCTCTCCTGGTGCTGGTGTGTAAGGTGGTATTTAGAGAGCTTCCCTGTTGAGTGGCGGTCTGGTTAGGGCCCCCTCGAATGCTGGTCATTCTCCAGAGAGAGGCTGCGGCTGATTCTCAGGGCCCCTGGAACGTCAGCCCTCCGGCGCTGTGTGAGGTCAAAACTCACGTGCTCACATAGATTTGTCACAGAGCCCCATGCTCTGCACCCTTTCCTCATGGGGGGGGCTAAAGAAAGGGGAAGCTGCTGCAGTCCAGGGTCCAGGGAGCCCATCTTCACCTGCCTCCTCCCTTTTCTTTCCTTCTTTCATGGTGAGCCCCAAGCCAAGAGGACTCTTGGTATGATCCCATGTTTTTTACCTTATATTCTGGCCCCAAGAGCTCGCCACCACCTCTGGGGTTGACTAACTCTTGGCAGCTCTGAATGAGCGCCACAGACCTGGGCTGCCAGGGGCAGGGCGGCGCCCTCAGTGAGGAGAGACAACCTCGGTTCTCCCTGGACTCATGTGATACTTGCAGAGGATATGGGGGTGGTGATTCTGTGAGTGGTCGTTTTATATTCATTTAAAAAGATATCCTGGTGGTAAGTTCTGGCCGTCCCCCGTTTAAACCAAAGTTACTGATGTATAATTTGCATAAAGAAAACCCATTCTAAGTGTGTATTTCTGTGAGTTTTGACAAATGTCTTCACCCAGATAACCCCTACTACAACAGGACAGAGAACATTTGCATCCCTTCAAAAGCTCCATCTGGCCTCTTTGCGGTCAGCACCCGCCCCCTGCCCAGCCCCCAGGCAGCGCTGATCTGTTTTTGGTCCCCATGATCAGCTGAGTCTGTTCCAGAATTTTCCATACATGGAATCATTCAGTCTTTTGTGCCTGACTTCTTTACTGAGCATGGTGTGTGTGGAATCCATCACTGTTGTTGCGTTAATCAGGAGTTTGTACCTTTCCGTTGCTGAGTAGAATTCCTTGGTGTGTAGGTACCACAGTTTGGTTAACCATTCACCTGTGGATGGACATCAGGGAGGTTGCCGAACAATTCTCCAATGTAATTGTACCATTTTAGCATTGCTGCCAACAAGTTTTGAGAGTTTCAGTTGCTTTAAAACCAAAACTATGTTTTATGTCTTTTGAAGTGTATTCCTTGGAGTAGGTCCACAGTGATATCCCACTGTGGTTTTAATTTGCATCCTTCTGATTCCTAATGATGGTGAGCATTTCTGTGTGCTTATTGGTCATTCGTATATCTTATTTTTTTTTGTTTGCAGTTTTCGTTAATGATTATAATACATTTGAGGAGGAAGAATATTTATACTATAAAAGCACTGGAATTTGACACAACATTGTAAAATGATTATAAATCAATAAAAAATGTTTAAATAAATAAATAAAAGCACTGGAAAACAACTGAGTGTCAGATTGTGATTATCGTAGAAATTAGAAGAATTACACACATGTATCTTCTTTTATGAAATATCTTTCCAAATCTGTCGCCCAGGGGAAGTTCGGGGCTGTGTACCACCATGTTATCAGGCTGTGAGAGTTCACTATATATGCTGGGTGTGAGTATTTTGGAAGAAATATGTTTTGTGAATACTTCCTCCCAATGCATTGCTTGTGTTTTCTTCTTAATTGTCTCTCAAAGCGGAAAAGGGTCAACTGCTTACGATACCCAGTGAGTCAGTGTTACGAGGAGAGCTTTGTGTTCCCCGCGTTTCTGCCAGTTTTTGCCTTATGGGTTTTGAAGCTCTGTTACTTAGTGTGTGCTGGTTTAGGGTGTTATGTCTGCTTGGTGAGTTGCCCGTTTTGTTGTTTTGAACTGTCCTTTATTCCTTTGTTCTGAAGTCTGCTTTGTCTCAAAGTGACGTAACTACTTCAACTTTCCCTTTCCAGTGCCTCCCACGCCCTCCTCTTTCACGTCCACGCCCTCTGTGTCTTTATGTTTGAAACGTGTCTCTTGTAGGCAGTTTACAGTTAGGTTCTCCTCTTAAAAAAATTCTGGTTGACAGTCGCTGCCGTTCAGCTTGGGTGTTACATCGTTTCAAGTTGATGTCATTATCAGTGTGGTTTCTGTTTGTCCCGTCAGTTCTTTGTTCCCTTCCCTATTTTTCTGCCCTCTTCTTATTATTTTTGTACTTTAAGGGTTGAAGTGTCCCTTCTTTGTTGGCCTCTCAGCCAGGCCTTGTTCCGTTCTGTTCAGTGGTTTTCCTGCTGGACAGTTGTCAGTATGCTGCTTTACCTTGAGACGGTCTGCCTTCAGGCCTTACTGCAGCTCTTCACGTGGGCTGCGACAGCTTCAGGTCGTGAAGTCTCACTTCTGCTCTCCTGTTTCTTGCTTACTGGTCATACTTTTCACTTCCAGGTGTGCCGTCAACTCCACTGTCATTTTTGCTTTGAGCAGTCGGTTAGCTCGTAAGTCAATTGAAAATGAGCAAAGGCATGTTTAACTCCCCCCCCCCCCCGCTGTCTCAGCTCCTTTGTGCGCGCCCGCCCTGGCTCCTGGCTGGTGTTTACTCCTTGAGCCCCAATAACCTCTGTGAGCATTTCTTGTTTGCAGGTCTGCTGGTGGTGAGTCCTGCCAGCCATGCGGGTATGGAAATGAGTTTAATTTGCCCTCTCTTTTTTGAAAGATATTTTTCACCAAGTGTAGGATTCCAGGTCGATGGGCAGTTTTTCTTCCAGCTGAATGTTAAGGGTGCTGTCCTACCGTCCTCCTCGCGCCGTCTCTGGTGAGACTCAGCACCTGTGCCGCCCGCGTCTCTGCTTCGCTGCACATCGTGTGTGTCCTTCCTCTGGCTGCTTTTAGCATTTTTGGAAAAGTCGCTGGTGTTTGGCAGTTTGCTGTCATGCTTTCCCTTCGTCCTGCTTGTGGCTTATCGAACTTACTCAATTTGTGGGTTCCATCAGATTTAGGAACGCCGCAGCCAAGATTTCTTCGGCACTTCCTGTCTGCTTCCTCTTGGGGCGTGTGTGTCAGCAGCCTGCGGCCCCAGCGCCACCGAGGCTCTGTCAGGTTTTCAGCGTCTGTCCCATCTTGTGCTGGGCCTGAGCGCTTTCTGCATCTCCGTGTTTAAGCCACTGATGCTTTCTTGCAAGTTCTAAACCGCTGTTAAGCTCAGTCTGGAATTTCTCATTTTGGGTGTTACATTTTTTGTCTCTGGAATTTCCAGTGGGTTTTTTAAATTCTTTTTTCCCCTATGCCTTGGAGAGAACACCATACAGTAAGTAGAGGTGTTTTTCATATCTCTTTACGGCTGCACATTGTCCGTTTTGCGGATGTACCACAGTTTATTCAACGACCTCCATATTGATAGACGACTGGGTGGTTTCCAGCCTCTGGTAATTAAAACCAGGGCTCTAATGCATAAGCTGGGACATGCATTGTCTCATATTTTTTGACGGTGCGTCTCTGAAACAGACTCTAGGAAGTGGTGGTGTTGATTCAGGTGGTAAATGCACCTGCCGTCCCAGGGACCACCCTGGTCCTTCCCCGGGTGGCCCACTGCTCGGAGCCCTGCCAGCAGGGTGAGCTCTGCCTCCAGGGTCCTGCGTCAGCCCGCCTGAGGGGTGCGGCTCTGCCGCGGTGGAGTTCTCACCGGTGTTTCTCTGATCACGAGAGCTGGCTGGCCCCGTCGGCACGGGGTCTGTGCTTGCTCTGTGCGCCGTCTGTGCTGCACTTGGGGGTTTCAGG